AAAAAAAAACGGGGTTGGGGATTTAGCTCAGTGGTAGAGTGCTTGCCTAGCAAGCGCAAGGCCCTGGGTTTGGTCCTCAGCTCTAGGGGGAAATAAAAGAGAATTATAGGGCTGGAGAGATGGCTCAGAGGTTAAGAACACTAGCTGTTCTTCCAGAGGTCCTGAGTTCGATTCCCAGCACCCATATGGTGGCTCACAACCATCTGTAATGAGATTTGGCTCCCTCTTCTGGCCTGCAGGGATACATGCAAACAGAACACTGTATACATAATAAATGAATAGATCTTAAAAAAGAAATCTATCTTCCCTTTGACCACTTCCTAATCTCCCTAACTGCTCCCCATACTATCTACCTCAAAGGTCACAGCATTCAGTGAATGAACATTAATTGTACTCTCGTCCGACCTAATTTCATGACAATGCACACTGCACCCTAAAGAGCATCTCTACACCCACTGTGCCTCTTCAAAGGCCCTTCCCTCAATCCCAGCCAGGCAAAATCCCTCCTCATTGAAGAATGCCTATACCTAGGCACCAAGTAAGTCAAGAAATAAAAATGTGGAAGAAACATACAAGTATAGCACAGGAAAATAAGGTAAGGCTTTATCTGAAACATCTGATGCAAAGATGAGTTGATCCAGACAAATGGAAAGAGAAATCAGAACAACTTAAGTCAGACAGCTCCCACTTAACAGACTTCATGTCTGAGCTTTAGAAACACAGGTATCACTGAGACTGCTAAATGTTCCTTCCGGACCCTTTCCAAATCGGTACTGCCTCTAAGTTTAAAGGTAACAGGTAGAGGGTGTGTGTGTGTGTGTGTGTGTGTGTGTGTGTGTGTGTGTGTGTGTGTGTGTGTGTGTGTGTGTGTGTGTGTGTGTGTCACAAACTTAGGTGCAGTACCCACAGAGGCCAGAGGGGTCACGTTACTCCTAAAGCTGGAGACTGTTGCTTGAGATGATTAAATAATCAAGACAACTATGTCTGCATCCACCTGGGAAATCCTCATTACATCCTACCAAAGATAAAAGAGTCCAGGAAACGCCAGTCTTTCCCCCACAGACTCCAAAACCCTCCAGGGAGGGCAGTCAGTTGCCTGTCTTCAGTGTTGCTGAGGAAACAGTGTATGCAATCTAGCCCTGTAATAAAGTGATTGGCCGGGCAGTTGCCCTTGGCAAAGAAAAAAATTATCCGGCTATTTTTCATCCAAAAAATAAAAACAAAAAAATAAAGATTTGTGGAGAGAATGGTTGCACCTTGGAAGGATTGAAAAATATGATTACTCAACAAGGTGATGTTTTAATCAAGTTCTTAACTAGGTTTTTCCCACTAAATCTCTGCCATAGTTTACAGATTTCATTTCCAATAAAGGCTTTACTATGCTGATTTATGTTGTAACATTTGCAAGAAAGGAAATTCTGTCTCAAATACTACCGCTCCATTAGAATGAAGGTGTTCTCAGCGCAAGGAGGGGTACCACTAACTGACAAAGACTCGCCTTTGTTCCTAAACGCCGCTCCACCTCCCAAGACCCTCAGCAGTCCAGAGCCCCTGGACTCCGCCTCTGTACCAAAAGCACCAGAACTTCCCGGACCTCAGAGATGAAACTTCCAAACAGCTCCCCCTTCTTCCACTCTGAAATAATCAGTTTAGTCCGGACCCTGGGTCACTGTCCCTATCTTTATATCTGACCTCAGCTTTTCCAGGGCAAAACAAAACACAAAACAAAAACTTGCCTAGCCTTGCTTGTCCCCCGCAACCTCAAGCCTCTCTCTAGACATCACTCTCCCCAAGCCCGGCCATCACTCCAGCCTGTCTCCCATCCAATCGGCAAGAAAGACCTCCGAACTCCCCACTCTCAGGCATTCTAGGGACCCCCTACCCCCACCCCACCCGGAGCGCCCTTCCCCCGAGCGTATTCTTCGAGACTCCGTCCACGCCACGGCCACCTCACGTCCCCGCCCACCCACTCGGGCCCCGGAATCTCACGATCCCACTTCTCAGGCCTGGGAGATCGCACGGGGAGCGCTTCCGACGCCGGGGCCCAGCTCCGGCCCCGGGAACTCGGCCGGTGGGGACCGCCGTGAGTCGGCGGCGCTCGGTCCCGGTCGAGCCCGGCCCCGTCCCTCGCCGCCACCCCGAGTCCATTACCAAAGCACAAGACCGGCGCGAGCAGCAACGCCAGCACCAGCGACCGCGCCAGCACGCCGAGGCCCCGGGCACCCGGCCCGGGGAGCAGCTTCTCTCGCGCAGCCCCGCTCATTCTGCCCAGGGCGGCGGCGGCCATAACGGACTCGGCCCCGAGCCTGCGCTGTTGCTAGGGTCTGCGTGGTGACGTCAGGTACGCGTCGGAAGGCGCGCGCCCCCGAAGCCGCTACGTCTCGACGTGATGACGCCGCATCCCCGAAACTGGAGGGAGCCGGGAAAGTTAACTCGGAATTGCAGAGGGGAGCTGAGAAAGGTGAATGGGAGCGGGGTTATTTTCATCTGTTGTCGTCTTCGTCGTCCTCAAGATTTATTTTAGGACCTGGAGAGGTGGCTCATCTGTTAAGAGAACTAGCTGATCCTCCAGGGGACCTGGGTTCTGTCCCCAGCACCCACGTGACGGCGTGCAACTGGTGCAGAGACACACAGACAAAACACCTAGACACTTAAATAAGTTTTTTAACGATTATATGTATGGGGCTGGAGAGATGGTTCAGCTGTTGAGAGCACTTGCTACTCTTGCAGAGAACTGGATTCTCAGCACCCAGGTTAGGCAGCTCACAACTGCCTCTAACTCCAGCTCCAAGGGATCTGACCCCCTCTTTTGGCCTCGGCAGGTACTACGCTCTAGGGTGAACATAAATAAATGTAGGCAACCATTCCTAAACTAAAAATAAATCTTATTTTGTTTGTTTGCTTTTTCAAGACAGGGTTTCTCTGTGTCACAGGTTTTCTCATTTTTTTCATGCGCCATCTGTTATGAACCTTAGATGTCAACACAGTCTTGTACACATCAAATGAAGCAACCTCATTGGTGGAAACCATGCAGGTTATTGTATGAAAAACTATATAATTGCATGAACCCATAAAGCACTGCAGTTACACTGTACTTTGGTCATTTGAATAGTCTTCCATCTTCAAGTTCCTGGCGCTTTTAGAAATGCGCTTTCTCAGAAAAAGGAGGAAAGCCAGCGAAACTGATGCATTTCCAGAAATGTTTAATGATAATTTATCAGATATTCCTAGTAAGATCGAAGATGTGGATGACTGTTTTGAGGATTATGGAGACAATGCTACTGACAGTGAAATTATTTAGATCTTTAAGTACTGTATATTGGGAGTGGATGGAGGTTCACGCGGGTCCATGGAAAGAAGTGCAGAGGCACCTCCGGGATGATTTTTTTAGCCTTTCCCAGCTGCAGGAGGGATTCATCTCTATGGACTGGTCTGCTGGTCGCTGAGTAAAGGGCCCTTTAAGCTATACAGTTCACATCTTTAGCTAGTCAATTTCTATACCCAAACTTTTTATCTGAGCCCCACCCCCAGGGACAATGCCAAATGCAAATTCTCAGGAAAGAATACCACAGTGCTCTGGGTTGTTCTTAAACTCAGTTTGCATAGGCTTTGATCCCCTAGGAAAATTCTCAGATAAGACTTCAAACAGAAGGTGCATAGACAGGGGGAAGCAATCACAAAAGGCAGATCAAAGCTGGGTGCTAACACTCCAGAGTCAAACCCGCTGTAGCTGTGGGAATTCTCCCACCATGTAAAGAAGTGCTTTCTTTTTTTCTTTTTCTTTCTTGCCCAGGCTGGCCTCAAACTCATGATCCTCCTGCCTCCACCTCCTTCAGCAGACCCTACCGGCATTCGCCACCAGTGCGCCACCACGACCGGTGGTGGCAATGCTTTCGAGAGATTCCCACACGGACAAAGCTCCTGATAACTGTTGATCTGAAGTTGGCACACCTACAAATGTTTGAAGGTCATGCTGGGGTCACTACATTTCCGTCTCAGTGTGACTCTGTACCCTCGGTGACCAATCTCTTTTTTTGGTGATGAATTGTTTGAGATGTGCAAAGAGCTGCCCAACGATCACAGTCAAAACGAAATGAAATGCAAAACGCCATCTAGAACACTGAAGTGGTCTCCGGCTACACAGAAGGACATCAAGAAATTCCTCAGCCTGATTATTCTGATGGGCCAAACAAGAAAAGATAGCTTGAGAGACTATTGGTCAACAGATCCTTTGATATATACCCCTATATTTCCACATTGAGTTGCCACAGATTTGAGCAAATATGGACATTCTGGCATTTCAATGATAACGCCAAATGGCCAGTTGTTCAGGGAGACTTTTCAAGATCTACCCTGTGCTGGATTATTTCCTGCATAAATTTCAAACAATACACAAACCAAAGCAACAGTTGTCTTTGGATGAGTGAATGATTCCATGGAGGACATTTAAAATTTCACATGTACAACCCAGCAAAAACAAGAAAATACAGCTTATTTGTTCAGATGGTGTGCGAGATTAGCAGCAGCTCTATCTGCAATATGGAGATATGCACTGCTGAGCAAAGAACTCGCCGGAAACTGTTCTTTCCTTTCAGTCCTTGGACCCTATCTTGGCATACGGCACGATATTAATTAAAGGATAATTAATTATAATGCTACATCTACTGCTGAATTGCTGCTACAGAACAAAACTAGAGTCTGGGCCTATTAGGGAGAGTAGGGGTTTACCTCCAAATCTGAAAATGAAAATATCAAGAATGAAGAAAGGTAACATAATATTTTCCAGAAAAGGCGATATTCTCTTCCTAGTAAATTTGTTTGGTCCCTCTTCATAGAGGAAAATGTCTTACGCAGTACCATAAGTTAAATAAAAATACTAGGCACTTTAATTGTTTAATTGTTTTTATAAATAAAAATGTCATAATTATTGAAAATAACACCTAAAATGCATTATAATCTATAATTATGATGACTTAAATAATGTGCAGTCTGCCCAAAAGCATGCCGTCCTTGGTGTATCTTAGAAATTTCTATGCAATATGCAATGTGTTAAAGGCATGTGCCACCACGCCAAGCAAAAATGAATATTAAAATGATGTGTAAGTGCAGGTGCCTTCAGACGCCAGAAGAGGGTGTCAGAACCCCTGGAGTTGGAGTTAGAGCTGAAGTGAGCCATGGTTGTGAGCCACCCCATGTGGATGCTAAGAACCGCACTCTGGTCCTCTGCAAGAGCAACAAGTGCTCTTAACTGCTGAATAATTTCTCCAGCACCCTTTAGTTTTTGCTTTTTGAAACAAGATCTCATGTAGACCAGGCTGGCCTAGAAATCCCTTTATACCCAAGGATGACCTTGAACTCCTGCACCTCCACCTCCCAGATGCTGGAATTAAGGGCATGAGCCATTTACTCTGGTTTATCCTTTAGTGTTTCATCGGGTATTTAACACTTGCCCATACTCAAGGGTGCATCAATAAATAAACAAAGCAAATTTGAGCCAGCTTTTTCGGGACTTGCTTTCTTGTGAGGGGCACTGTAAGAATGGATATTATTTAACAGGGCGATTGTGTGAGGAAAGAAAAGCAAGAAAGCTGCCCAGAAGTCAGAATGAAACCGCTGCCATTGAGAACAGCCTCAGGGTTTCCAAAAGTAGACTCCTGTCATTTTTTACATTTTGGAAAACAAAACCCTCAGTATATGAAAATGTAAATTCAGAAAGTTTGCCTAGGGCCCTGGTACAGAGTTTGTGTCTGTGGGTATATCATGGACTGTTTCCTAAGTAAACAGCTATAGGTTCCAATTCCTACGTGTTCCATTTCACTCATTTCCAGGGAAATCAGTGTAGCTTAGAGCTGCCATTTATTGTACCCAGTTTCACAGCCGCCTCTTCGATTTCCTCCCCGGAGAGCTGAGCTGCCTCTCCAGGGTAGAGGAGGGCCTGTGTTCTCCCAAATCAGATGTATTTGGCCCCAGGACAGCTCAAAAACACAGACTCTGTGTTAAGAAAACTAAGAAGTCATTCATCTTGATTCAGACTGTGCCGCAAGCCCATGTACATGGAATGGTGCCCAAACCATCCAGGTTAGCATGCAAAGGTACTGTCCTTCCAAGTCTCCCAAGCTTTGCTTTCTGCTGGTCCAGAAAATACCAGTGTTCAGAGAATAAGCTCAATCCTACCTTCTGCCTGTTTGGAAATAGTTTTCAATTGATCGATTTCTGTGATGCCCCGTCGTCCTCTCTAATCTACCGTGTGCTTTTGTCCTCAGTGACAGATCAGCTGGATTCATTTTTTGTTGTTGGTTTGGTTTGGCTTAGGTTTCTTCATGAATTTTACTGTGTAGCCCTGGCTGTCCTGCCTCTGACTCCTGAGTGCTGGGATAAAAGGCGTGTGCCACCACCGCCCCGGCTTCCGATTTATTTTTAAGTATGTGTATGTGTCTTGTCTTACAGGATTTATGCATGTGAGTACAGAGTCATCAGAGACTGAATGGGAAAAAAAAGATAAAAAGGAAGGGACATGACTGCTCCTAGGCATGGTGGAGGAGAAAGTTTATTGTAGCTAAAAGGAAGAGCATAGCCAGAGGCAGAGACATCTGGGAGAGTCCTGAGTGTACACAAGCAGACTGACCTGGCCATGTGACCAGAGGGGGAGGGGAAGGGAAGGGAGAGAGGGTGACCAGGTGCAGCAGCCAGGAGGGCAAAGGTAACCTAAGAGGTTAGGTAAACTAAGAGGGAGCAGGTGGCCAAAATGGCTGGATTATATAGGGAGGGGCCTGTGGGGGAAGGGCAGCCCAGCTCCTGTAACAGGTAAGAACTGAGGACTTCAGGATGCTGGGAGAACCTAGCCAGGTCCACTTTGATAAGTCCCAGGAGTTGAGACTTAACAGACTAGAAGATGGCATCAGATCCCTTGGAACTGGAGTTACAGACAGTTGTGAGCCACCATGTGGGTGCTGGGAACCAACCCCAGGTTCTCTGCAAGAACAGCCAGGGTTCTAACTGCTGAGCCATGTAACCCCATCTAAATTCTTTTAATTAATGAGATATTATGAACTCTAGACATTTTGCAGTGATATTCCATCCAACACACTGCATACTGTAGGCAGACATTCAATAAGTAACTGGGAAATTAAATCACCATCATACTCAGGGGGCCTTCTCTACACTTCACAACATTTAATACTATGCTTGGCCCTTGACTACATGGACCCAGAAACCACCTTGTTCAGATCAAAGTCTCTGGACAGATTCTAAACGTTCACTTTTAAGAAAGAGCTGCCACTGGGCAATGGTGGTGCATGCCTTTAATCCCAGCACTTGGAAGACAGATC